CACACCCACACCCACACCCACACCCACACCCACCCACACCCCACAGAATGCAAATAAGAATGATTATTCGTAACTATTTGCTAGAATATAGACTAGATTGACGTTTTTGAAGAAATAGTGCATCCCATTTCTTCAAAACATTCTGTTCTTTAATATCCACTCGCATTTTGATCGAATAATGGTTGTAGAGACTATTTATCATTCATTATGCGGAAATTTCTGCCGTCTTTATGAATAGTAGAATTTATACTTTCGGAGAAAAGTCTTTCCTCTCTTTCTTTCTATTTTGTCATACTTTGCATGAAATTTATTACCGAGTAAAGATATGACATGAGATGTTTATTGCAATATGATGTACAAATCATACTGGAATAAAACTCTCATGTTTTATATCTACTCGGTAATAAAATCGGTGTAACGTATGATAGCATAGAAGTAAAGAGAAGAGAAAGAATTTTGTCCAGTGATGTAGCTGCTTTAACCAAAGCATGCAAGTAAAACTTCACTAAAGTGAAGCTTACCTGTAGCCAAAAGACGAAGCCGAAAGCTCGGAATCAGTTGGAGTAGTTCCCTTGTAATAGGAGTTCACCATTCGAAAAAACGGGAGTGCATCGAATTGTGTGTGGGGTGTGGATAGGGTGTGAGTGTGGGTGTGGGTGTAGATGCGGAGAAGTCGCCACCCACACCCACACCCACACCCACACTCACACTCACACCCCACACCTACACCACCCATACCCACCCACAACCCCACACCCATCTAAGTATGTATAGCCATTTGGCTATGTACACTTATGTGTACATAGTCACTTCCTTGAAAAAAATCAACAAGCTACATTTTTTATTCGAAATTTCTAAAGAAAATATCGGAGAGAAATTCGCGTCACACATTTAAAAAAAATCAAATTTCTATGGTAACGTTTCAATCATTATGTCTCATTCAGTATATGTATAAAAATTAAAGTATTAAATTAGTATATATGAAAAAACAAATGTAATTAATCAAATTCAAAATAAAAGAGTTTAAATCATCAGTAACTAAAAGTAATCAAATATGTAGGATAAGCTACACGATTTTCGTATACGATATAAACTTTACTGGCTCTTGTTTCACCAGATATACTGTTGTAACGTGCACCTGATACGCTGTCATTTTTCTTCGGTGTCCGACGCAACGTGGGATCATTTTTGTCTTTGTAATCAAAAACTTCTCCTGTTAATACGTGAGCAAGAAATACTTGTCGTTTATCATTTGGTAACTGATAAGAATAGTTTTGACAAGAATATGAAGCATTCGCAGCAAAATATGTACCGATACCCCACAAACCACTTGTACAAAATGTCATATCGAAACCAAATTCACCATTGTAAATTTCACTAGGCGGTGTCATTCGAGTACCGTGAAACAATTCCATTTCAATTTGTAAATCAGGCTTATTACTTAATTCTCGTTGAAGAGTTCGACGACGAAATGCGTAATGATTCCATATTTTTAAATTTTGTACTCTTTCGATTTTATCAGCTTTCATATTGCTCATAGTTTCTTTCATACGCTTTTCGATACGAATAAAATCAGGATCATTTTTAGATAATTCCACTAATTTACATTGTTCTTCTTGTTCACCCCATTCTTTAGGTATATTTAATTCATCATCTTTATCAGCCTCTATTCTTAAAACATCTTGTACGTATAAAGAAATTTGTAATTTTGCTTTTAAAATATTTTGTTCAAAACCTTTTAATTTTAACACTAAATTTTCGGCAGAATCTTGTTGAAAATCAACATGAATAAACTGTTGAATTGCAATATTAGTAATTGCTTTCTTATGAGCATCAATATCTTCGTTTAGATTTATGGAGAATGGTTCTGAAATCATAGCGGACTCGATGACTTTTCTAATTGCTATTTCTGCTTGTTTTAGTGCTGTGTTGTTAATACCTATAATATCCCAATCGTCTTCTTTAGACACCATCTTTAATTGATATGTATCCAATGGTTTAGGTTGATATGCAACAGATGTAATGCGTGGTTGTAATGGTAATGGGTAGCGAATAATATCCCGTTTAAAACCAGTGCTTTCTCTCATTTGATATCCACATACAAGGCGATTATTTAGTGCATTTCGATCAAGAGAGAAAAACTCATTCGAACCCATTCGAATAGCTGCGGATGGTTGGGGATTGTTGGGAATGACTGGAAATGGCTTGGAATATCCGAGTGAGCTTTCCTCCCCTTGATTTGGATTGATTGTTAATATTTGTTTCAAATCAGGACGAAAATGAATGCTATAGCAAACAATGGTACCAGTTTCTAAATTATCACAATCAATTTTCAAATTAGATTGAATGAAAGTTCGCAAATATTCTTGAAACGCGTCTTCAATTTGATGGGTATGAGTGTCATCATATATCTTTTCACCGAAATCGCTTTGCCAACACCATTTAGCTGTTAATGGCGGTAAATCACAGTTCATAATATCATTATCATTATCTGTACCTGTGTTTGTATGATCATTTACAACTTCGCGTGCAAAAGAATTACAGGCTGTATCATCAATATCTAATAAGATTACTTTTCTTAAATGTGATTCTGGAAAATCAGCAAAGAATTGTTTTACTGCACGAATGACAATATTTGTACAATCTTGTAATGGAAAACGGTAAGTCGCACCACTAATGGCTGGTAATGCTATACTATTATAACCTTCTTGTTCAGCAAGTCGCAAACTGGATAAGATACTGGAAAATAATAATGGCCGTTCTTGTTGATTACCATTAGCATATTGAGGACCAATTGCATGAATAACACTTTTATACGGAAGATTTCCAGCAGTAGTTTTAACCGCTTTACCAGTAGATATTGCTACACCTCCATTTTTAGCAATTAATTGTTTATATTCTTGATCAAGCGCAGGACCAGCAGCATCAGAAATTGCTTTATCAACACCTCCTGCATGGTATAACGATCCATTCGCTGCATTTACAATAGCATCAACATCTTTCACCTTTGTAATATCACCTTTCTTGATAAGAATTGTTTGGCCACGACTATTGACAACACATGTTATAGTCAAGTTGGTATCATCATTTCCATTTAGTTTTGAAACTTTCGTATCTGCTTTAACATCTCTAATTACAGTATTGGTTTCATCTTCAATACGTCTAACAACTTTATATGAATTAACTCGAATTAATTCTGATTCGATAAGCGGTAATGTTAAACGATTTGTAATAATTCTTTGTTTAATATCATCAATGATACTATTGATCTTTACTTGAACCGAAGTTATGATTTCAGAACGGCCATGAAGCTTTAGTCCATTCCAATCTTTTAAGTTAATATAAACTCTTTGAGTTTTTACTTCGTCAAGCACAGGTTGAACAGCTGAATAAACAAAACGACGAATATGGAATGGAATTGGAATAGTTACCGAAATCTTATCCATTCGATTTATTTGTCCTACAGCTAAATTTTGCAGAGCTTCTTTTATTTCATCTGCAATTATTTGTGATCTTGCAGGAATAATAATAGTATTTGTTTTATTTTCAAGCTGTACCTTAGTATCCCATTCTTCTTGAAAATGAGTAATATTCGGTTGTCTTTGCACTAACAATATATTATATAAAGCTCGATATTCATTCAAAGATGGTTTCCATACAACATATCCTTCAACGAAATCTTTACATTGTTGAATTACGTCATCTGCTATATCTTTAGTTAGACCAACCACTGTAATAGTAACTTTTGGTGTTGTTTGTCTTCTTTCGGTGGCTAAATTATAGAACTTTACGAATCCGACTGCTTCATAATCATTTGATTCTCGTATTGTTTTCAGAAGTGTTTTAATATTTAAGGAAATATTGTTTGAAATATCCCACGTTTCACATGAAAAATCTTGTTCCTGTTCTGATAAATTTCCAAGAAAATTTTCTACGGCCATTTGTGCCCAATTAATGCGTGCCGCAGGACCAACCAGTTTTAAACAATGATTATCATTATCATTTGTGTTCTCAGCACGACGAGGTGCAGAAAAGGTGATGATCTTGATATGGTGAGTACTGCCGAGTCTATTAATATCAGAAGACACTTTTTTTTTAAGAAAAAATGCCATAGCCCCTGATATAGGAATTTGTATTTCAGTATTAACTACATCATTTAAATAGTTTTTGATTTTAGACACTGCAGAATGTACGTCTGATTTAAATCCGCTGACTTTCACATGCGACATACCTCTTATGTAATATACGTAGATATGTACGAAAGCATTTGGTACTGAGTGCTGAAGGTACAATTTAATTTGTATGGATCGTTCTCTAATTGATGTATTCTTTTTCACAGTTTTTCCGCGTTGTTGCTGTTCTAAAATAAATGTTACTTCCTCTTCTGTTAATGCCCATGATTCAACGTGTAAAGAATAGCTTTGTAATTCTGCTATGGCGTTAGATAAAGAAACATCAGAATCACTACACAATGCTATTTCAATAGTATTTTTGGTACGATCATTAATATTCTTCGTATTGAGACTATCGATTGCAAACTTTGATGACAATGATACATCAGAATCTGAAGCTTGACTTCTGTTATCATCATAATCATCGTCATCACCATCTTGATTTGTTGCATCTTCATCGTCTGTAGTTTTAGCATTGTATCGCTCTTTTCTGTTGCCTTCTTCAGGATCATCACTATTGTTTTCGTTTGTATTTGCATATTGATCATTCAAGTTTAACTTCATTAAATTTGGTATACTGTTTGACATTGAGTGATCTGTATGGAATCCTTCTCTTCCACGTCCACCATGGTTAAAGTTACCTCTTGCATAGCCTCCATGTCCTTGATTATGACCAAATATCTCATTATGATTGCCACCACTTGGTCCCCAGTCACATCCATGTCCACGACGATTGGTCTGAAAAACACGTTGCGCATCAAGTAAGCCCCTATTTGGAGTATTGCTACGTTCATTTTTATTATGCGGACGTAACTCTTGGAAAGAATATCCAACACGATGTTTTTTCGAAAATTCTTTCCACATACGTCCGTTAAAATTTACTTTCAGGTGTTGTTTCATGTTATAAGTAATTGATACATTTTTTTCATAAAGGGTTTTTTTAAGATAAGATTTTATGTTTGCAATTACAGCATTATTTCCGGATAATTGTAATTTACCGTTTACAATATCTGCGCTTTTAATATCTGGTTGTTCTCGAATTGTATTTAGGATTTTTTGGCCAAAATTTTCAAGAAAATTATTTTTTGCAGCACTTAATTCAATTGCTGATTTAGAAGATATTTTTTTAATTCTATTTTGAATTTGTACTTTTGAAGTTTTAACGGATAATTGCTTTCCGCTAATAATCATCATTCCATGATTTTCATCCATAATAATAATGACATGTTGAGAACTTTCTAATTTCTTAACGAATTCTTGAAACTCTGGGTTTTGAATAGTGTCTTTATCTACATCGAAAGTTATTGTTTCGATCGGTTGAGACATG